TGTATGTGTGCAGTTGACTTATGGGTAGTTGGGTCAAGTGTTTAATTGTAGTGAACCACTTGTTTGATTGTGGTGTGGAAAAATACCACAATACCCTTAATGAAGATATAAATTTTGTTTGTTTTTAGCCATTAGATCATTCGATCTAATGACTACAATTTATTCTTATTTCTTTCATTGAGAATCATTCTCGTGTGAACCCAACCCTATATATATATATATATATGGGGAGGATCCAATGAGTCCACTCCTTAAAATGAGTCCACTCCTTAAAATGAGTCCACTCCTTAAAATATATATTAATTAAATAATAAAATAATTATTAGTTGACCAGCGTTGACCGTTGACTTCTGGCGAAAATCGTTGACTTCCGGCGTTGACCGTTGACTTCCAGCGTTGACTCCGGCGTTGACCGTTGACTTCCGGTGTTGACATGTTGCCCTTGGTTTGCAATATGTATGAAGTAAATATACATCCAGTACCATGCATTAAATATGAATTAAATATGCATGAGATATGAATTGCACATGCAGTCCTTATGAACTAAATATGAACAATAATATCTACTAAATATGCACCTGTTAATAACTAAATATGCATATGTTATGAACTAAATATGCATTATGAATGAACTAAATATGCAGCGAAAAATATGCAATAAAAATGTACATTTTATATAGGTAATTTATGATGCATATTTAGTTAATTTATTATGAATATTTGGGTAATTTATGATGCATATTTAGTTAATACGAAATACATACTTGTAATATTTAAATTAAATATATAATGATGTTTATATAGTTAATATATGATGCATATTTAGTTAATTCATGATACATATTTAGTTCTTACGAAATGCATATTTAGTTCATGAACAATGCATACCTATTTTATTTGAGATCCAATCATAACAATTTATTTGTGTTATTAAACAATTTAAAATTAAAATTAATTATATAATTAAAATCATTAATCATTATATTTAATTTAATAGTATAAAATGTGTATTTTATTGCATATTTTCGTTGCATATTTAGCTCATTCATGATGCATATTTATGTAGTAAAATGGTGCATATTTAGTACATGAACAGTGCATACATAGTTGATATTATTGGTGAATATTTAGTTCACAAGGATAACATATATAATTCATTTCTGATGCATATTTAGTTCATACTAAGTGCATAGTACTAATGCATATTTACTTCATACACAATGCATACTAAGAGCACCCACAATGCTTTGGGTCTCTTAGAAAAATATCACATGCCATGTAGGAAATAGACCTAGTCTATAAAAAAAAATTTTTCCAATGCAATTAAAAGTGGACCTAGTCTATCTTATGTGGCAATAAAAAAAAGAGACCTAGTCCACACTTGGGTCTATTTTAGACCCAAGTACAAACCCAAGCACTCATCAATTATTCCTCATTTAATTTTTCTTTTAATAAATGAAATATATTAGAACATTTTTATTGGTTGTCATATATGCTAGACCTAGTATTTATTTGCATTGAATAGCTTTTGAGTTTTTTTACTTGGTTTTGTCCATGTCATTTAGGACTTAAGTCTATTTATATGCCACATATGTAAAATTAGACCCAAAGAATTGTGGGTGCTCTAAGGGTCAACGACCAATGTTGAAAGTCAGCGCCGGAAGTCAACAATTTTCGCCGGAAGTCAACGGTCAACGCTGGAGTCAACGGTCAACGCCGAAGTCAATGGTCAATTGTCAAAATAATATTTAAATAATTAAAATAATAGAATAAAGAAATAAGTAATAAAAATAAAGAACTATTATTTAATTGAAGAGTTAATCTTAGCCACACATAATGTACCAATCTAATGGCTAGGAATGAATCTCACATTCACACTTTAAATATGTGGACTCATTGGATCCAATCCCTATATATATATATATATATATATATATATACTTATAACATTCTATTTACTAGAATTACTAGTAAGAAAAGTCAAAGGTAATTAATGCATCTTATTTCCATCAAGTATTTTATTTAATTATTTTAGTTAATTATTTTTATCTCATAACACTTTTCAATACAACTTACCATGATTTTTCTATTGCGATTAAAAATCAAATTATACGTTTAAAATATTGTGAAATTATTATTACTATTTTTATAAAGCACATATTATTTGTTAAAAAAATTATATATATATATATATAATACACATCACAGTACCATGGTAGATGATTTAAATTTCAACCGACCAAAATGCCAATGATTTAAATTTGAACACACCTATGCGTTTGATCAAATGCCTGGATAATTTAAAATTGAGCCTATAAAAATTTATTTAATTTTGAACACACCAGAAATTTTATATAATTTTTATTTATAAATATATTGAAAGTGGTATTTAATGGCTGTTATATAAACTATTTTAATATATTTGCAACGAACAAAAGTTTGAATGAATAATTTTTAATGTTATTCATAATGTTTGTAACTTATGAGTTACGAACACATAACTCCATACAGATTTGCCAGAGGGTGACTTAATAATTTTTTAGACGTAACGTTGATTAAAAGAGGTAGAAAATAGATAATAACATTATTACTTTTTAGACTTAAACAAACAAGGTTGTGAAAATAATTCAATTAATATATTTGTCCCGTGCATGGCACGGGTACATACTAATATGAGGAAAAAGTAGTCAAATACACAATAATGCTAAGGAGCCAACTGTTGGCTCCGTTACAAAGCCAACAACCAATAAGACAGGTCCATGTGAGATTGTCCCATATGGCTCCAATGTGAGACATCCCTACATAGAGCTGTCCCATTAATTGTTGGCTCCTTAGTATTACCGGTTAAATACATACAATCGACGGGTGAAACCGTTGAGCACGTGAGTGACCATTTTGTAATAATTTGTTCACTCCTTCTCAAAACCCAATCGCATAACCCAAACACACCCCAGTAAAAAAACAAGGAAAAGGGAAGAAAAAACCAAAAAAGATCGTTTTCCGGGAAGCACACAAAGGGAAAAGAAGAACTGTTCCGCGGCCACCTCACCGCCGCCTGCAGCCACATTCCGCCTCGCCGGAAGAGTACAATCGCCGACATCATCAACACATGGACTCCCCGGTCACGCCGGGCCGGACCTCGGCGTCCGGCCGCTCATCCGTCATCGATTCACTGCGCGGATGCACGCTCTCCGGCGTCCGAATCCCTAAGGAGGAGCTGAAGATGAAGATCACCTGCCCGGAGTACATACGACTCGCCATGAGGGAGGCGATCCGGACCAAGGACGTGGAGGACACCGGGGTGTTGAAGTTTTACGACGCGGCTCGTGCGGAGGGAGCCGAAGCGGCCGAGCCGCCTGAGTTTCCGCTGGTCGTGTTCATCAATTCTAAGAGCGGCGGCCGCCACGGGCCGGAACTCAAGGCACGCCTCCAGGAACTCATGGGCGAGGAACAGGTGAATATGACTTTCATTCTGACGTTGTGCGTAATAAATGCGTAATTTTCAAGTGCACAAATTGAATCTCTTCTGTCTGCGGCAATTTGTTTTGTGTGCTTGTTACGTTACTTCCCTTGCGTGCTGACAGACGTGGTTGTGGAATCACTTTTCCTCTACCTTGCTTATTTTGGTCCTTTTCATTCTGTTCTATTTTTCTCTTTAATTCAATATGGGGATAAATTAATTTGTTTTTATATAACATATATTTTTAGATTAATAATCTGCTGGGTTGATAATTGCATCATAAATGTGTGTCTATATTGTTCACAGGGAAAATGTGCAGAATTATGAAGTGCCCTAGTTTTGTTTTTTTTTTTTTGTTTTTTTTTTTGTTTTTAATTATGGGTAAATCTGGAACAAATTCTTCATTTCCTTCATGAAGAATATGTGTTTGCAATATTGCTAAACAAAATAGGAATGCCATTCTTTTTTGTGAGTGATGTGGAAGTAATCGTAAAGCTAATAAGCTTCTTGATTCCTCAAGGGACTGAAGAATATCTTCAGAATAAATTGTTAACAAAAAATGCCTCCTGTTTCATAAAAAAATTGGAGAACACTTTATATCTAATGCAAATCTGTTATATCTAAACTAATGCAAGATCTTAACGCAAAGGTTGTATTCTAAGCACTTTCTGCCATGTATAGCACAAGAGTTGTAAGATGTACGGTAACATGTTCGGATGTATATAGCCTGCAATATACATCAGTCTTTTGCTCATTCTGTGCGCCAGTGAAATTGCCTATAATAACTGCAGGTTGGTTTTCTACAAAAATTTTAATTGTCGTTGATTTTCTTTCCGTGCAACTTTTAAAGCTGTACAATCCAAAAAAATGGTATGTACTCTATAAAGTGATATCACTGTAAGTGTTGGTCTACCCTGCAGCCAGAAAGAGTACAAGTCATACCATGGTGTCTTCATTCACTTATTGCTAGACAAAGTTATTATGACAAATACTACAGACAAATGATTTGTGTTTTGGTTGGAATTGGTGTTGTAAAAATCGCTTGGTGTTCTCTAGGTGGTAGACGTTGGCCTAGTGCCTAAGCAGGATCAAGTCAGAGGGTAGGTGGTCTAGGCTGGATGTAATCGGATGAAATATGTAGGCCGTCATAGGGAGCCTAGCACCTAGCAGGATCTAATCGGAGCCTTGGTGGGATCTAATTGGAGGCAGGTTAGATATAGTGCTAGGCAGGATATAATCAGATGAATTATGTAGGCTGTCATAGGGAGGAGCCTTGGGTCTTGGGTAGGAGGAGGGGGGGAGGTTATAATTGGATGTAGGTGAAACTTTTACAACCGCGATTGCAACTACCATGAAAGTATAACTTTTAGATAGATAAGCATGCATGTTCCCTCTAGGTCTTATGCTTACAACATTCAAATATATTGTTTGAAGTTTATTACCACAAATATTGGTTTGCTGTAAATCTTACTCTTTCCCTCTAATACACAGGTTTTTGAACTTTCGTCTGTGAAGCCTCATGAATTCGTTAGATATGGATTGTATTGCTTAGAAATGTTTGCTGATCTTGGAGACAATTGCGCAAAAGAGATTCGTCAAAGACTTAGGGTTGTGGTATGAGTCTTAATCTGTAATTCTTATTTACCTAATATAAAACACAAACTGCCTATAGAAACACAGTGCTCGTCATTGGTCTTCTTGTGTTAAACTTGTGACTATCATCTCGTATTTGGCAGGTTGCTGGAGGTGATGGTACTGTTGGCTGGGTCCTGGGCTGTCTTGGTGAGCTGAACAAACAAGAACGACTGCCTGTGCCCCCAACTGGAATTATTCCACTTGGTACAGGAAATGATTTGTCAAGGAGTTTTGGATGGGTAATGTTACTCGTCTGCACATTGCCTTTCTTTTCTGGCTATAAGCTGTCCTGAGTTCATAAACGTTTTATTTTCAGGGTGGCTCATTTCCTTTTAATTGGAAAGCGGCAATTAAAAGAACACTGGACAAGATCACTACTGGCCCTGTTGTTCATCTTGACAGGTGAGGTGTTAGTTTGATTGTTGACCAGCCTTTTCAAATTGTGCCCCTGAAACTGACTGTATGTGCCATTGTTAGATACACGTGATGGCCTTAAAATGGCTTTTTTTTTTTTTTTTTTTTTTTCTCATTTTGCACCATGAGTCTAATTCAATATCAAATATATAGTATTGCTGATATGGAACTTTTGTGTTTTATGAAGATGTTGGATTGTAACTTCCTTCGCATATGAGAGTTGATATTTACATCTCTACAATCTCTATATATATTCCAATTTCTGGAAATGTTTTATTGACGAAAGAGTAGGACCAATTGTTTTAATAGAAAATTTCTTGTCCAGGTAGTTTTTGTTTTCTATTGTTTCTTTACTTCTGTAGCCTTTTTCATTTTAGGAAACACGTTTTTCTATTTGCAGTTGGCATATGTTGATATCAACACCAGCTGGGGAGGAGTTGGAGATACCTCACTCTCTCAAGCCAACAGAAGAAACTCCTCTTGATCAGGTTTGTGGGCGAAGGTTGGATTTCTTTTTTGTCTGTCCCATTTTGCTTAGTAGCCTGTCAAAAGATTACAATCATCAATGATTCCAACTGTATCTTGGTTTGGCACCATCAAGTTGCCTGCTCATATCTTGAAAAAGAACACCAGTTGATGCATCACATGCAAGTTGATTTCTAATGTACGAGGGTTGGCTAGCTTGAGCCTTGATGTAAATGCATTATCTTTATCCTACTGATTTCTCAAAAATGGTAGGCATCATATTTGTAATATTCTTACTGGAGATGTTAGATAGGATATTTTAGTGCTGCATTTATTGATGAAATTAGTTTAAAGTTGTGAATATTTTAGATATGTACTTTCATCAAGTTTGTCTAATTGTGAAGCATGACTTCATCAGTAACTTGGGGACCAAACATAGTTTGTTTACTTACAGTAAAATCTGTTTATTTTGTCGGAGCATTAGCTAGTCTTAACGAGGGCTACCAATCTACTGCTTAAGATAATGGTTCCTTTTTTGTTTTCCCGTCCTATTTCTTTATTTTACAGGAACTGGAAGTTGAAGGAGAGTTGCCGGAGAAGGTCTCCTGCTATCAGGGAGTCTTTTATAATTACTTTAGCATAGGTCTGCACTTTTTGTATTTTAGTAATGTCTTTGGCTATGTTTATTCACCCTTCCTACTGAAAAACATTTGTAAAATGTTTGCAGGAATGGATGCTCAAGTTGCTTATGGTTTTCACAATTTACGCAATGAGAAACCTTATCTGGCTCAGGGTCCTATCTCAAATAAGGTGCAAGTTCTCTTCACCCTACGAAAGAATCACAGAACTATGCATAAATTCAAAATATTAGACTGGAAAATATTGGATCTTTTTCTTATGTTGAGAAAATATTTTTTTTATTGACCTTCCCAAAAGTTCTTGTCACGGTATTTCAAATTTCTGATTCTCTTGTAAGCCATAGAAAGCTTAAATTAAGAGCAAAAGGATGTACAATATAATGACAAAGTTTGATATATTTCCTTCCATCTTAGCCCTTGATGTACTCTAATGAGTAGGATACTGAAATCTATAATCTGTTGCAAATCTTTAAAACCGTGAAAAACTGAAAGTTTTCAGTAGACTTGGGTCAGTTATATGTGAATGTTGTTGATGTGTAGCAGCAAAAATACTTGTTCTATACCTCAGATTTTGGAATAATGGCTCGGTGGTAATCTTCTGGAAATCGAGTATTTTTCGATTTTTTCTATCAGGTTCAGTTTGAGTTTGTCAATGACAAATGTATGTCTTGATGATTTTTTCAACGTGCTTGATATATTTGTTGGGAATTCTTCCCCATTGATCACCATGCACCTTTCCTGACACCAGTTATATGATTCATTGGAGTCATGAAAAATATACACACGGTAAATTGTGCCTTTTGAATGCAGTTAATCTATTCTGGGTACAGTTGCAAGCAAGGTTGGTTTTTCACGCCATGCAGCAGTGATCCTGGTTTGAGGTCAGATTCTCCTTTGAAAAACACATGGAATATGAGAAATATGCCCAAACCACATCTTTTGTGCCCTAAACTTACTGAGACAAATTTCTCAAAAAAAAAAAAATAAAATAAAATAAAAATAAAAAATATCATACAAGAGAACTGAACACTAGTTAATGGGGTTTGCTTTCTTATGTCATTATTCTGACTCTGACAGTTTTGTAATCATATCTAATTCGCATCACTAATATCATATGGAGAGCTATCAATCCCACACAATCTTCACAATTAAGATGCAGATTTTCTAAAACAAACTAGATAAAGTATTTCATGTTTTTGTTGGGCAGGAGTCTGAAGAACATCTTGAGGATATATGCTAAGAAGGTCAATTCTTCGATCTGGGAGCAAGTTCCTGTTCCATCAAGGTTGATTATTATTATTATTTATTTATTTTTCCTTTTGGTATGATATGCACTAATGACATTTACTTAATACAAAATCATTAAAAGTTTCAATGCTGCTTATACCATCTTACTCAATTATTTTCCTTCTCTGGCTTTTGGTGCCTTCTTCTTTTATCTGTGTCTGATTTCTGTGGATTTTCCAGTGTGAGGTCTATAGTTGCTCTTAACCTTCCTAGTTATGGAAGTGGTAGAAATCCATGGGGAAATTTGAAGCCGGAGTATTTGGAGAAGGTATCAAATTTGTATTTTGGCATGCATGCATTGTTCATTTTTCGTGTTAAGTTGATGCACAGAACTGCTGCACCATGTATTATGACTATAAGATAATTTTTGGATGTTTTGCATAAGAGCCCCTTTTTGAAGTTCAACTGGTTTCGTTTGAGAATGAAAACCCTTTTTATTTTTTCCTTTTCTTTTTGTGCTTGTGAAGTTCAAACTGTTTGAAATCTGCTTATTGAACTGTGCACGCTCATCGTATTATGTATGTTACTCGCTTTTTCTTTCACTGGAAAAAAGAAGTCGACTCTGTGCCTCAAATGACTGATTTGTTCTGCTTTTAATCAATTTGAATCTGAGAAGTAAAATATAAGTGGCAAATGCCTGTAGAATAAGTGGGACACCAAAAATTCTACTTCAAAATTTTGTTCCCTTTCTTGAAACAGCTGCAAAACATTTATCATTGCGATTTAGCTTTTCTTTCCCTTTTTCCATTGAAATAGTATGTGAAATGTATGATTTCCTTGGCAGATGAAAGTTTTTTTTTTGATGATCTATGTAACAGAGGGGGTTTGTTGAGGCCCGTGCTGATGATGGTTTTCTAGAAGTTTTTGGTTTCAAACAAGGATGGCATGCCTCCATGGTTATGGTTGAATTAATCTCGGCAAAACACATAATCCAGGTACCATGACCACTCTAATTAAATGTTACCTTAACTGGTAAAGTATACACAGCAGAAAAGGAGAAAGCAAGGACTTGAATATGAAAACAAAAAGGTTGTGTAAAGTTTTACAAATGGGCGAAAGTTGAGGAAGTGAAGAAACCAGTGCACCAGTGACCCTTTGTATACACTATTTTACATTTCTAATGCAATTTTACAAGTTTATATATTGCTCACAGAAATTCTCAATGAGGGTGATGTAAAACAGACATGACTATCAATGGGAAATTTCTTGCTTTGAAAGCTAGACATTTTTTCTCCTCTAAATAAGACTAAATCTTAAAGGTAACTAACTTTGTTTAATAATGTGTGATTGGTTATGAATTTAACTACAAAAAAACCAATAGCAACTCAAATTTAACTTAGCTTTAGCCCAACCCCACTATTCTCAATATTATCAGTATAATTAAAAAATATCAACCAATTATTTGTACACATCACATCAATTTTAATTCACTATTCATCCACTCACAAAATTTTAACTAACAATCACTTCCAATTATTTTTCTTCTGCTTTTACATCAAATCAACTTTAATTATTTTATTTTAAATAAAATTTTAATTTAAACTTAAATTTCCACTAACAACTAAACATACCACATTTTTAAAAATTAACTATGATTAGAAAAAAATAAATAAATCAAAAATCAATAAAATCCATATCCATTCTATTGTCAAATTTATTGGTTAATGTTACTACCTCAAATTTTTGAATAATACTTTATGCTGCAGGCTTCAGCTATCAGATTTGAGTTAAGGGGAGGAGAGTGGACAGAGGCATATATGCAAATGGATGGGGAACCATGGAAACAACCAATGAACAAGGACTTCTCGTCATTTATCGAGATCAAGCGTGTGCCCCATCATTCACTCATGGTCAAGGGAGAATAATCTCGACTTCTATTATTTTTTTTTTCTATTTTTGTTAATTGTTATTATTATTATTTATGTTGATGTGGCCAGTGTTCAGGCATCAAGTGTTGATTGTTGTCAAGGTCCCTCTTACAACCCTGTATCTAATTATTTGTTTTGGAGGGAGGTTATAGTCAAGTCCCAGAAAGCCAGTGTTTTGTGTCTGTTTAAATTAGTATGTAATTATCAGGGACGAAGATTTAACTTGCAGTTGCAGATTAATGATGCTACATCTTGTTTTTGCAGAAAACAACGTTTTCCTTTCGTTATCTAGTTTGCATGATGTTTTTTCTGACAAAAAAGAAAAAAATGTGGTGAAGGGTGATTGAAACCTGGCAGTAATGATGCCATTGCACATCTTTCTTCTCCCTTCGTTTTCATTGAGTGGTTATAACGTAAAACTCTAGTAGGAGACCTTGTAATAATACATGAGGCCTTGACGAAAAAATAATAAAAATAATGTACATAAAAAAAAAAAAAA